ACCAGGGGGGGGGGGGGTGTTGACCCAAGAATGGAGGTGAAGCCTGGAATTTCTGGCCCAATAAGCACATAAGCCTGTTTGACTTTCTGACTTGTTTGCACGTTGGTTGATTGGGAACACCATAGTCAACATCTCATGGCCATTGGATTTGAGCACGTGACCACCTGGCGCCTGATTGTTTGAGGGATATGGTGGAACAGATTTGAACGTCTGCACATGATTACATTAGAAAAAATATGAAACAAATATTGGGTGAACCTGGGAATCGAACCCAGGTCCCAATGATGCACAGCCACCTCACTATCCACTGAGCCATGCGCCTGTATTTGATATTATAATAGCTAATGAATATGATATATGAAAAACAACGCATATGCTGGAAATTAAAAAAAAAGCGCGCATTATATTTGAATGAACTAATCAGAAGCTTCCACGTCTTCATCATCTTCCCTGAAACTGTAACAAACAAGGTTAGATAGCGGGGGTTTTTAACCCCCACAACCTGCATCAACAGAAAATAGCGAATAGGCGTGTGATTATCATAAATGTTTCGCGACACATCCAATGCATTCGTCTTGTCCTCACGAGTTTAACCATGTATCTCACCAGGCTTAATTTTTCTTATATCACAAAGCCCCAATTTGAGAGCTTGGAAACCCTAAAATTCATTCATGGCAAATTCTGATTCTATGTGTTTCAATGCAATTAACCTATGCCAAAAGTTTCCTGTGGATTCAAGCAACACAAAACCAACAAAAAATCATATGAAATATGCATGAATCATGTGTTTCAATTTTCAAAATAGTAAGCAAACCGCGAGTTCGTGTGGAGCGATTTCTTAGGCCTTAGCACGTGGTTTTGATTCCAAAACGTTTCTGGGAATGCTAGCAATGTATTAGAATCCTTAAATCGCTTTGAAAGGGCCTGGGAGTGAGAAAATAGTTTTGAGTTTTCTTGACTTTTTTCAATATGGCATATGGCTTTCTTGCAGAGTTTTCACGTGAATGGCATTAGGGTTCACTTGTGCATATGTAATAGAATGGATTTAGGTTAAATCTTTGACCAAAGATCCATGGAATTATGGTTTGCATATTTGATTGAAAGTCATATCTTTTTGCATCTTTTTGATTGAAAAATCTTGCCAAATTGAGAGATCTTTGTCCCCTTGATGTGTACACTAAATCTCCAGCACATGTAGGTCATATTTGCTTCATGAAAAGATTGCAAAACCATATCTTGATATTTTCCTACAATTAAATGAATTAAATGAATTAATATTGATTAAAAATTCAATTAATTAATAAAAAATAAGAAAATAATTCAATTTAATCTAAATGGGTCGTGCATAGGCCTTGGACAAAGTTTCAAGAAGAAATTTGAGGCCCATTAGCAAAAATGATGTGTTTTGAGCAAAGTTGACTTTTGCAAATTCACAAAAATTTCCCAACTTCTCCAATGTATATCTTGTTCAATTTTGATCCTATGAACATGTTCTTGGACATTTTGGAAAGGTCTTGAAATCCTCTAACCAATGCCTTTGGTCCCATGTCATTTGGATTTACCAATCTCAAGTTATGGTCTTTGACTTAAAGTGCATTTTTGTTGACTTTTGAAATTGACCTATAATGTAGAAATTGATAACTTTTTGTGAGAGCATTTCTTGGACTTGGAATGTGAATATGAGTTGTAGGAAATGTAATACCCTTCAAAATGAGCATTGGATGGGATTTCTATGATGAACCATGAAAAAGTTATACCTTGGTCAAGATACAGTTGACTTTTCAATTGTCCAAAAATAACAACTTTTGCATCTTTGATGATTTTTGAGCCATGCTTGTGGAATCATGATCAAGACTTGATCAAATGATGATTGTGTACTCAAAATAAGATGTTGACCAAAAATTCTTACTTTTGACTACCAAATGACCATTTTACCCCTACAGTTGATTGTGAACCAAATAGGGCTTTTGACTGTGCAACTTGGGACTGTGAGTCTTGAGACTTGACATGTAGATGCTTGACAATGTATATAGGCCTATGGGACTTGATTGGACCACTGAAAACCTCAAATTCCTTGAAAGAACCAAAACCCTCATTTTGACTGGCTTAGGAGGCATTTGGACTGTGCAACCCTTGAGAAATTTTGAACCATTTGAAGATGATTCTTGACAAACTTTGAAGAATATGGGAGGACAAATTTTGGGGTACAACAGTATGCAAAGACCAAAATCAAAAAAAATAGCATGACTAAACACAAGACAAAAATGCATGAAAAATGACAACACAATGCACACAAGCATCTCTAGGGTTTCACCCACTTGTTGCCTTAAAAACATGGCCATGGTATGCATGGTAGGTATCTTGGCAAAACAAATCAAACAAAAAGATCATAGTCCCTCGATGACGCTATCTTGGTTGCCTATACAAAAATGATCTAGTCCCTCAAAAAACTTGCTAAGATACTTGGCAACATTGTTATCATGGTCATACGATGACCCACGCCTGTCCCGTTTAACATCCAAAGATAAGGTTGTTTACCAAATACAATGGTAAAACAACAATATCAAAGGGTTAAAAATGCATAAGAAAGATCTTTGAGTAGGGTAGACAACTCCTAGTTACTTGATCAAACTTGCAAACATCCTTGCTATTTTCAAACTATCACACACCTTTCAAAACAATTTCAAAATAATTTCCCAAAACAAACTTTCAAAACATTGAAACATTTTTCAAATGACAAACACCTTTGTATACATTCAAACAAGAATCGTTACAAAGGTTGCCTAAACAAATGCCTCTTTTCAAAATACTTTCAAAACCACACACAAAAGCACCATTTCAAACAATTGAAAAGCAAAAGCAAGTGATCTAAAACAAGTAACTAAGAGCCCATGGAAAACCATGGATGAAAAGGGTGCTAGCACCTTCCCTTTTCATAATCTACCCCCCGAACCCAAAAACAATCTCAAAGGTCTTTCCTGTGCTTTTTGACCTTTCCTTTGGATAAAATAAAAAGTCGGTGGCGACTCTTGCTAAAACGAAACATTTGCGAACAAAAAACGCAAAACCTCAAGTCAGTTCTCCCACCGCATCACAATCTTCATTCAATCACTATTTCCCATAACTTTATGGAATTACTAATAAGTTTAACCCCCTATAATTTGCACAATTTTGTATATTCTCCTTGTTCTTATATATTGGAACCAGAGTGCTTCTTATCCATTCTTATGGAATTTGCTTTTTCTTCACAATTTCATTAAAGAATTTGGTGAGCCACTCAATACCTATATCTCCAAGAAATTTCCATACTTCAATAGATATGTTGTCTAACCCAACCTTCTTACTGTTACTCTTCCTTTTCTACATTTCTTTTACCTCTTATTTCTAAATTTGATGGTAGTAATTATAGCTTGGAGCCTCTTCTCTAATGTCGAGTATGCTAGAGTCTAGTGAGATATCATATCCTTCATTAAGAAAATTGTATAAAATATGTCTTCCAACTATCCTTTACATATTTTTCTTAAACCAAAATGTTGTCTTCTTCGTCTTTAACACACTTCACTTGATCCAAATCACTTGTCTTTCTTTCTCTTCCTTTAGTAAACCAATATATAAAATTTTCTCCCTCCTTGGTTCCTAAAGATTTGGATAATCCTTCAAAAGCTCGGGTTCTTACTTCACTCACCATCTTCTTGGTCTCATTCTTAGCCTTCTTATACTTTTCCCAAATTTGGACATTTTTACACCTATATCACTATTTAAAAGAATCCTTGTTACTCTAACTTTACCCTTAACACATTCATCCCGCCCAACGATTCTTTACCCCTAGGTGCAAAGCTTCTTGATTCTCCCAGGTCTCTTTAGCCACTTTTCTAATATCTTGGACCATCTTATTTCACATATCATTTTCACTTCCTTGTGGTAGTCCAAACCCCCCTCCAAAATCTTGTGTTGGAAAATTCCTTATTTTCACCCTTCAAATACTACCACTTGATTTGTGGCGCTCCAAATGTGACTTCTTCTCTCTGTTCTTCCCTTGATTCTTACATCCCTAACCAAAACTCTATGTTGGGTAGTCAAAATGTCTCTCAGAATAATTTTAAAGTTCAAACAAATCTTCATATTTGACTTTCTAATAAGAAATAAATCAATATAAGAACATGTCATCCCACTTTTATATGTGATAAGATGCTCACTTATTTTCCTAAACCATGTATTTGTTATAGTAAGCTCCAAAGCCGATGTAAACTCTAAAATGAATTTATGTTCCTTGTTCAAATCTGATAGATTATACCCTTATGCACACTCTCAAAACCTCTTGCTTGCTCCCTACACATCCATTTAGACCCCTTCTTAGAAAAAACTTATATCCTTAGGGGTACATCCTGAAGTAAACCTTCTAAATTTTCTCAAAATTTTCCATTAATGTGCTCTACTAACCCAACCTGAGGTGCGTAAGCACTAATGACATTAGAGGTGTCTTGTTCCACTATAAATTTTAAGGTTATGATTCGATCTTCTAATCTTTTCACACCCACAATATCATTCTTCCACTCATTGGTCACAATAATCCGAACTCTATTTCTCGATCTAACTTTTTTGGTGTATCAAAGCTAAAATCTTGAAATTTTGAAATTCTTTAGCTTTTTAACATGTCCACTTAATTTCTTGTAGGCACATAAAATTAATCTTACTCATAACCATAATGTCCATAATAATCCTCATCCCATTTCTCGATCAAACTTTTTTGGTGTACCAAAGTTTAAATTCTGAGTTGTCCAATTCTTTAGCTTTTTCACTTGTCCACTTAGTTTCTTGTGGACACAAAATTAATCTTCCCCGTAACCATAGTGTCCACTATTTTCATAGATTTTCCAATAAGCAATGCCTATATTCCATGATCCAAAATAAATCATACTCTCATGAACTAATTTCTTTACTTATACCCGCTCACAAAAATGTGAGAACTCTTTCTTATTTTTCACTAGAACCAGGTGGCGATGCATCAACCCTTTCTCTTTCGGCACTGTACTCGAGTCATATAGTGTAACACCCCAAAAATCATTGTTAATTATTTAATTAGTTATTTGTGATTATTTTTGAATTCTTGTAATTTATATGATGTATTGTGGTGTATTAATGATACTATGTTGTGGGAAAGTGTTAGATTAAAGCAATAATGAGAATTATTTAAAATTAAAATAATTTAGTTGAGATTAATTAGATTTAATAATAACTATTTAGAACTATTCTATTAATTAAATAGGATAATATGTGTAAAGATATTAAGGGCAAGGTGATAATTTTATGAGGATTAATGAGGGTAAGATGGGATTATCATAATAGGGGTATAAGGGTTAAACAAGGAAAAATAAAGAAATTAGATAAGTGTGTCTCATTTGGAATGATCATGAAATTGCAAGAGCGTGAAACAATTATGACTTAGAGGAGAAGTCAAGGAAAAGGATCTTCCATAGAACGTAGAGGAAATACTGAATTTCTAAGATTTCAAGGTAGGAGGGGTGATCTGATTTATTATATTTGATATGGGGACTAAGGTAGATGTAGGATTGAGTGCGTTTTATATTTTGCTCTGGTTCCAAGAGGAAATCAATCCTACGATGGAGATTTTTGGAGGGTGATGACCAAGTGTTCATCAAAGATTTTGGTACCACATGCATGAGTCAATGTTGTTGCATTAACATCTTATGTGACATTGCATGAATTTCGTTGATGAGATGTGTTGATGATAATTGTGAACTATGTGATTTTATGTTGGATGATATATGTGAGATGTTTGTATTTTATGATGTACATGATGTTGATGAATAAATGTGTTAAATTATATGACGATGATATTGTAACTACTATATCTTTTTCTGTATATCTTGTATAATGAATTGTGATTACTCATCCTACCTGTTTGAATGTTGTCTCCACGTAGGTAACATGTAGATGATCAAGAATAGCTTGTAGAAGTGTGAAGATTACGTTGGAGTTATTTATTTTGTTTCTGTTGAATAGAAGATGTCATGCTCTGATATGTAACATCGGGGTTGAGAACGTTTGAGTTGAACATTATGTTCTTTTGTGTTGACATGATTTATGAGTTGTTTTGATTGTCTAAGTTGTTTTGAATCATAACTTATGAATGATGAAGTATAATGATATTTTCTTTGAAGGATTTTAATGATACTATGTTGAGACTAAGATTCTTTTGCGAAGTATTTGAATTATGTGGATATTTCGAAAAGGAAAATTGAATTATAATTGTTGAAAAACCCGTGTTACAGAGCATGGTGTTTATTATATTGTTCTTATGAAGCATGCGACACTCTTGCTGGTGATTTATGCTAGATAAATATTTAATTATTTACACATTATTCTTTGAAATTTAAAAGAATGTTATATACAGAATATTACTTACGAGTAACAATCTAGCATTCACATTATTTCTTAGTTAATCCATATATAGATGTTCAACAAAATTTACACTGATAATTGATTGCCTAACACAACCTTATCTTTTTAATTGAAGTTATGATTGACTATAGATAACATAGTAACATAGATATATTTATCTTTATAGTGTATTTTTTTAATATGTATGAATAATTAAAGTATCTAATTTATTTATCAATTATTTAATAAATTTAAAAAATGAGTTTTTATTTATAATGATGCTCGAAAAGAGTATTTGCATAATAAAATTTAAAACAAAGCTTACAATAAAGAGGTATTATCATATTCCCCACAAGACCATTATGATTCAAATTCAAAACAAATAAAAAAAACAAAACTAACCAATCATAAAGAATTGACTGGTCAAAGAAAATCCATAAAGACAACCAACTTGGTCAAAGTTCAAACAAACAAAGTACTACTAAATGCATCCATTACCATTTGCAATCCATAACAAAACCGAGGGCATTCAAACTCACTTTCAACACAAAAACCCAAAAATAAAAGCCAAATCAAACAAGCAAAGAAAAGGGCAAACTCGTCAAAACACAATAAAATAAAATAAAGCAGATCTTGTGTTTGGTGTTTAATGAAACAAAACATTATTTTAATGAATAAAATAAATTTGGGTGTTGGGTAGGTTTGACCACTGCTCATTTCTTCCATTTTCTCTCTCTTAATATTCATTTTTTTCTTCTCTCTCTTCACTTCAATATTCTTCATTCTCTCTCTCAAATCTTCAAACTACAATTTTTTTCTGTCTTTGAATCGCTTCACTTTGAGTTGCATGAGCTCTCATTTCTTCAGCAGGTTTGTTCAATTTTCATCTATTGGTCTATTCTTGTAATTTCAGTTTTTTCATCTGTAATTTTGCTTTTTAAATTTTATGTTTTTTTTTTTCTGATGATTTTCTTCAATCTCTGGACTCTTTTTTTGTTGCAATATGTCCTTTTTTATTGTTTTCTTGAAAATTATTAATTAGGATGTTATTTTCCACCTTGGAATTTTTTTTTCTTAACTAAATTGAATATTTGGGTTTATGTTATATTTTTATGGATCTGAATTGATTTTCACCTTGGAAATTTTTGGATACATAAGTTGGAAATAAAATTTATGAGGCTGAATTGAACAAGCTATTCCTTAAAATGAAATTGGGGTGAAAGGATATATTGTGTATGTTTTATTGTTTTGAGTTATGCTCACAGGTGCAGCTAGAATTCAGAAAAACAAATTGAAAATTAAATTGGATAATTACTGAAAATTAATGATGAAACATTGATGCACATATATGAGTAGTTGGGGCACTTGATAATTGGAATCACAAAAATTGGCCTGTTGGTAAAAACTTGGGTCTTGATAGCGTGTTTGTCTCAAGGTCTCTGGTTCGAATTCCGTTAAGTTTAGCGAATACGAATGCGGTGTACCATTCATAAATAGGCTTTTCCGAGTTCCGGTTTTATTCGAAATTATGGTTGGACATACTTTAAGAGAAAAATATGAGCAGAACGTGGCTGCTTTATAGTTTTACAGTGTTTTCTTGCTTTTCCTTTAAGCATTACAATATCAAGTCCCTGTCTCATATTGGTGAGAATTAATTTATGTTCAATTTATTTTATTTTATTTTATTTTATTTTGCAGAGATAAACAGTTCTGTACAACAACCTAGTTCTGTACAAAGGATGGGGTGTTTCACTGTAAAGAAGAGCAAGAAGAAGAAATCTGATCAGTTTGCTTATGTAAAACGCATAAGCCGTAACGACCATGCACCTTCGGTGCTTCCTGAGCCTCAAACTCCTACTCGTTCACTACAGTCTGCACCTCCTAGTTTTAGGACTAGAGTGAAACCCATTCAACCTGTTAATAATAATAAAGTTGCTAATAATAGAGCACGCGCATTATCTGCTCCATCAACTCTTGATGCAGCAGACCAAGATGATTTGGCCTCAATTGAGTATGAGGAACAAGAAGAGTCAAGATACCGAGGAGGAGGAGGATCAATGAAGGAACAACGTTCTGCTAGTCCACAACCTTTACCTCTTCCATCTCCGCAGGGAGGTAGTACACTGAAAGCTATTAACAGCTTTAAGATGGGAACTGCTAGTGGTCCTCTACATGCATCTGGACCTTTGCCGCTTCCACCTACTGGCTCACTTCGGAACTTTCCGTATGAGGAAGTTGCTGCTGCCTGCCACAATTTTTCTTCTGATCGATGCATGTCTGAATGTCTTTCATCCACTATATACAAAGCTTACTTTGGCGACGATCCTTCAAGTTCAAAGAAATTTGAAGCCACGGTCACACGTCTTCACCCATCATCTCAGGTGCTTTTCTCAGTACTGCATATTTTAATTCCGTATCTTGGTATTCTCATGCATGCCAAGTGCTAATTGGTCTAAAATCATCTGTCTTTTTTCAGGGCTTGAAGGAATTCATAAACGAGGTCAATACTCTCGCAACTTTGCAACATCCAAACCTTTGTAAATTACTAGGATTTCACGCACGTGATAGTTCAGAACATAGAATGTTGGTCTATGAAAGGCTATACCATGGAAGCTTGGACCGCCTACTATATGGTAGATCTGATGGACCATCAATTGATTGGAATACAAGAATGAAAATTGCAATGTGTGCTGCACAAGGTCTTACTTTTTTGCATGAAGAAGGTCCTTTTCAGGTAATTAGTATGAAATCATATTGGATATTTCAAAACTTATGTTGTTACGTCAGCTTTATGTTTTTTTTTCTTCATGTTATGGACCGGATGATTTCAAAACTGTCATGATTATTATATTGTTTCAACCGGCCTATTTTACAATTACGTGTGCATCTTTATCTTTGTTGATATAGCTCTTTATTCTGCAGGCAATGTATAATGAATTTTCGACAGCCAACATACAGATCGACAAAGATTTCAGTGCTAAGCTTTCCGGGTATGGTTGCGTTGGACATATTCCTGAGGAAGAAATTTCAAGCAGTTCATCAGTAAGTACTTTGATTTAAACGTATATTTAGCTAATGTTCTCTACCTTAGCGTCTTCATATTTATTTATCGTGAATATTTGTTCCATAATTCTTGCTTATATTCCTGAATTTCATTGTTGTTCAGGCTGTTGGAAACCTATCAATGGAGACACTGGAGAAAGGAATGCTCACACCAAAGAGCAATGTGTGGAGCTTTGGAATTTTCCTTCTGGAATTACTTACCGGAAGAAAGAATCTCGATAGTCGCCACCCCAAGGAAGAGAGAAATTTAGTCAAATGGAGCAGACCTTTCTTAGCTGATAATTATCGTTTATCATTGATCATGGACCCTCAACTCAAAGGCCGCTTTCCATCCAAAGCAGCAAGAACAATAGCCGACATTGCACAAAGATGCCTTCAAAAGGAGCCATCAGATCGACCCACTATGAGAACTGTTGTCGAGCATCTCAAAACGATACAGGATTTGAAGTACTCTTGCAGGTTCCCACTCCAAGAACCGGCACCATTATCCGGAAAAGAAATGTTCAGATCACCGAGTCTGAATGGTATCATATGCCCTGCACCTAGGTTGAGTTTCTCTCCTTCGCGACCGTCTATAGCCCCGCTAGCTGTTTCGCCTCCAAGATGGTCCGACGTGCCTGTCCCTCCACCTAGAGCTTGTTCGACTCTCTCTTTGGAAGAGCTTGAAAGGCAAGAAAGCCGTATGTCATCGTCCTCGGCCTCTAGGAGGGTAGGTGTTGAAGGATTTTTACTGTCTATATAATGTTTATTATTATTTTTTTTTTGGTGTGGTTCAACACAAATTTATAGGAGATAAAGATGTGGTTCTTCCACCTTTTAATCCCTCAGTGTGATGCTCTGAGGTGATGTTCTTTTGTAGATAGTGCAAAGGTTGGTTGATTGGGTTCAATTAATAACCCTATTTATATGAAAATTTATATATGTATTTTTAGCATCTTTATCCTCTCTCCTTTGAAATGAAATTATATGTGATATATGTCATGAAAGAAAGCTTCTTTGCCAAGATTATTAATCTATTATGACGTTCAATTAAATTTGGTCTTGAAGTGGAGCATGAGAAAGGTCATGCTTATTTTCTTATTAAGTTAAATTTGTATAAAACATATTTGCCAAAAGCACACGAGGTGTGCCAGCTAGACTAAGCCAAAGTTCTGTAGTACATCAAAGATACAACAAACATTCAGAATAAAAACAACAATACAGAGGTTTTGATGTGAAATCATTGTAACAATTTTGATATGAATGATTTTGGAAAGTCAGTGTGATTCTTGGTATACAAATCTTTAAAAAAATATAACTAAGATCTTAAAAAAATGTAACCTGTTTCTACATCATACAATTCAAGTGTTAAATTGTTTAACATTGGTGACAATGTGTTGAAGCCGTAACCAAAAGTAAATATTTATTTAGTTTTATGATACCGTCTTCACAGGAATTAGTGCTATTGAATTATCGTTTGGCAATTTCTCGCATTTATGAGTTTAGGTTTGAATGAGTTTAAAGTAAATGCGAGAATTAAGCATATGAAAAAGAAGAAAAAAATTACATTCTTTGGAGAGGAAAACTTATCAAGCATGAATTTACACAACTCAAAATAAACTTAAACATATCGGCCAGTCACACTCAACCTACAATACTCGTCAAAATCATCAAATATCTCTCGAAATGTTCCACAACAGAAGTTATGTCTAACGCAAAGTTGGAGACAACCGTATTATTCGCGTTGACGATCTCTCAGCACAACACAAATAACACGGAGACATTAAACTCTGATACCCACAATAATTATTAGCTCTAAATCTATCTCTAGAATCTAGAAACTAGTAGATATTCATCCCTAATCAAGATTTGTGAGATATATGTCTATAATAATCTAAATTCAAACATAAAGCAAAAAGATTAAGGAAGATATCAACAATGATTTGTAAAGCATGCAATATACAACCCCATGATCATCAAATATACATATGTTCAAAGTAAATATATAAACATAACCCAAGAAATAGAGAAATACATAGAGAAGAAATGAAGAAAAATCAAACATCTCACGGATTATCAGCGTCGATTGATGAGAAATCCGACTCTGAATCATCAAGATGCATGATCCATTATTGTTTTCTAGCCTCTCACACCAAAAAAATGATCTTTGATGGTTTGGAATCAAAAACTACCCAGTCCATACCTAAAAAATGTGTTTTTTTGCCCCAAATACACAATTCTGCCAAACAGCCTCGCCCGACGGCGAAACAACTCGTTCAACACTCAAAAATAGCATTTTTTTTTCACGCTTCAGGATCGCCTCTGGCTCGCCCGATGAGCTCGGGGCGAGGCTGACAGAAAACAGAAAAATTCAGCACTGTTTCGGTCATAATTTGTGAACCGTAACTCTGATTTGCGCATTGGCGGAAGTGTTGGAAAACTTATTTAATGCTCCATCTAACAATGACTAAATATCAATGTTTTAATACCTATAAAAATGAAATAAAAACAATTAAACTCAATGATATTTACATGATAATACAATATATACATTATAACGTAAACTATACAAAATATACACTAAAGTTGAGGTTTATTAACAAAAAAGCAAACGGAATAAGCCGATGAGTGTTAATTATTCACACTCAAATTCATAACAATTTAGCACTCATCAAACTCTCTCCAATTTAGACTTGTTTGTCCCTAAACAAGAATTAACCAACTCAAAGAAACAAAAGCGAAAATAAAAGAATCACGAATCAACAGGTTTTGAAAATGGAAAAACAAATGTATGGTTCAAATAAAAAATGCACAAGCAAAGTAAATACTTATCACTAAACTACAACAATACCATGAAAACGAAATATCTCCTAAATACAAAACACATGTCAAAGATTATAAAACAATACAAAATTCAAAAATGAATCACACCTAGCACATAATTCATCGATAGATGAATAACAAAAACAATTGGTGCTTTTACTCTCACCCAACAATTAAGTTAACAACAAGTTAAATTATGCATTCATCGAGAAAGAACTCATATTGAACAATATAAAAACAAGAATCAAGAGGACTTTCAAGGGTTGTAGTTGGGCTTGGTTAACAAGGAAGAATTAATCCTAAGGCTAACTAAACGAAATTGCCTAAATCATGGGAGCATTGAATCACACAAGTCAAATAATCAAAAGTTATTTTTATTCACCCTACACTTTACTCATTGGTAACAACCTTGATTTTATTCAAACACACAATTTTTTTCTTCTTTTTTTCTTTTTTTCTTTCTTTTTTTTCTTCCAACCACTTATTTATTTTCAATCTACAAAGCAAATAACACATGAGCAATCAAACAAGTGCTTTCCCCAACTTGAATACAACCTAACATGAAGTGTTAATGCTCCCTAACTTTCTAAGGCAAGGAAAACAAAACAAACTACAAAGTAAAGTTGAAGGGTCAAGTGTTTCAAGAAACAAATTCAAGATCCATACAAAAATCAATGAAGAAATAATTAGTTATTTACAAGTTCAACATTTTCTGTACAAATATGGATTATGACATTAAGGCTCAAAGGTCTAACAAATGCGCGCACACTCACAGGATAAAATACTTTTGGAAGGTGGTTATGCTCAAATTCAAAAAATACATCAATCCTTTACATGCTTTCATACACATTAAATACAAATACATGATTAAACATAATAAAATCGAGTTACCAAGAAAGTTAGTCTCCTACTTATAGTAAACAATAAAAGCAACCTCACAAAAAGGATTTAGTCCGAAAGTGATTCAAGAATGAATAAATATGGTAAAAGAATAAATGACATGAACTTCTGTATAAAAAAAAGTTTCCTAAACTTGCTATGTTCTAGAAAGAGATAAACGAGTATCTTGCGAGTACCAACTTCAAATAATATCATTACCATACATCTATAAGTTGAAAAGATCAAATTTGAAAAATCACTTCAAATTTCCTCAAGCTACTCAAAACAAGCTCTTGGACAACCACCACAAAGAAAAACAAAATAAACAACAATTATAAACATGCTAAAAGACCGGGTGAAAGTTGATAAACAAATTTAAAAGTGAAGATTTAGAATTTCAAAACTGATCCTATTTAAATTTGTTTAGTCAATTTCACCTTACTACCTATACTACAACAATTCAAAATAATACAACATGCTTGTTTCACATCGTTAGCTCGACGCCTTTATTTATACACACTCCTCCAAGTTGCCTCTTTACACGGTTAGTTCCTCCGACGGTGACACTTAACCAAACACTTAACAAACGTGAAGAGAAACAAACATATACACTAAATTTACAAGTATCGAAAGCATGAACACATAAATACACAAGTATACATGTATAAGTCTAATCACATCATATAGACAATATAACCATTATGTGCAAAACTCAAAAACAAAAACTATCGCGATGTGATTCAATAAAAACATCAATCCCTGGCAACAACTCCATTTTATTGAAGCGGTAAAGCGGCAAACAAAAGTAAGTATTTATTTAGTTTTATCATATCGTCTCCATAGGGATTAATGCTACTGAATTTTCGTTCGACAATTTCTCGCATTTATGAGTTTAGGTTTGACTGAGTTTAAAGTAAATACAAGAATTAAATATATGAACAAGAAAGAATACATTCTTCGGAGAGGAAAACTTATCAAGCATAAATTTACACTACTCAAAACAAACTTAAACATATCGGTCAGTCGCACTCAACCTACAATACTCGTCCAAATCATCAAGTATCTCTCGAAATGTTATACAAGAGTGGTTATGTCTAACGCAAAGTTGGAGACAACCGTATTACTCGCGTTGACGATCTCTCAGAACAATACAAACAACACGGAAGCATTAAGATTTGATAACCACAGTGATTATTAGCTCTAAATCTATCTATAGAATCTAGAAATTAATAAATATTCATCCCTAATTAAGATTTGTGAGGTATATGTCTATAAAAACTCAAATCTAAACATAAAGAAAAAATATTAAGGAAGACATCAATAATTATTTGTAAAGCAAGCTTTATACAATACCCTGATCAACAAATATACATATGTTCAAAGTAAATATACGAACATAACCCAAGAAATAGAGAAATACATAGAGAAGAAATGGAGAAAAACCAAACATCTCACGAATTTTCAGCGTCGATTAATGAGAAATCTGACTCTGAATCATCAATATGCATGATCCATTGTTGTTTTCTAGCTTCTCTCACCAACAAATGATCTTTGATGGTTTGGGATAAAGAACTACCCAACCCATACCTAAAAAATGTATTTTTTTTGCCCTAAATACACAATTCCTGCCCAAACAGTCTCGCCCGACGGTGAAACGGCTCGCTCAAAGCTCAAAAAATAGCATTTTTTCACGCTTATGGGTGCATTTTCACGCTTCAGGATCACCTCTGGCTCGCCCGACGAGCTCGGAGCAAGGCTGACAAAAAATAGAAAAATTCAGCACTATTTCGGCCATAACTTGAGAATCGTAACTCCAATTTGCACATGGTCGGAAGCGTTGGAATGCTTATTCAATTATCTATCTAACAATGACTAAACATAAATGCTTAAATACCTACAAAAATGAGATAAAAATAATTAAACTCAATGATATTTGCACGATAATGCAATATATACACTATAACATAAACTATACTAAATATACATTAAAGTTGAATTTTATTGACGAAAAGCAAATGAAACAAGTCAATGAGTGCTAATTATTCACACTAAAATTCACAC